TAGAGGTAATTTACTAGTAACATTTTGGCAACAGACGCATGTCATCACTATTGTGTGCAGCAGGGGTCAAGTTCTAGAGTGCAATGTCATCTGACCTACTACTTGTATATCCCTGGTGCCCAACCTCTGACACAAAGGCTCCATGGGGTTTATTTACTAAAGCTGGAGAGTCCAAAATCAGACTCCCTTCTGCATAGAAACCAATCAGCTTCTAACCTCAGCTTGTTCAATGAAGCTTTGGCAATGAAACCTGGAAGCTGATTGATTTCTATGCAGAAGGGAGTCTGATTTTGGACTCTCCAGCTTTAGTAAATAAACCCCCATGTGTCTGTTTGGTCCACATTGTTCAGGGCACATTCTCTGACAATCAGCAGTGGAAGCAGAGATTTGAAAGGTAGCCTGTAATGGCAGTGATCTCTAGCAGTCCCATGTCACATGTCCTCTGATTGTTGCCTAAAGAATGTCCTTGGACTGACTGTTTCCTGCATCAAATTTAGTCTCAGACCACCTCCTGCTACTTGTTTACAGCCTCTAACAATTTTCTGTAAAATATCTAAAGTTTCTGACAATCTATTGTACCATGTTTGATGTCTCTGACCATCTCCTGTTCCATTTTATAAATCTCTGACCATCTCCTGTTCCATTTTTTATAAATCTCTGACCATCTTGATCATCTTTTGCAGTATGCATACAGTCTCATTCTTTTATAGCATTACTAGTACCTAATATTATATGTGGACCCTTGGTAATATCGGAGGCCACAGATAAGGGCCTTATATAAGGAGGTTGAAAGACACTGCACTATATAGCAGACTACCACCAAAATTAAATTTGCCATTTGTACATTAGTGGAAAAGTTCAGTCTACTCAAAAGACATGTATTGGCTATGCTTGGTAGACGTCCCTGCCTTCTCATAGGTGTTTCTTCAATAAATCCCAGCTCTGCTCCTGTCCACCTCCTAGGAGTTTTAGGTTATCCCGTCCATCTTTGTGGATTCTAGCCCATCTTGCTACAGTATCCATAGTATAAAATAAATAAAGACTCCAGAAAGGATAGTGAGAGCCCCTCACAATGGCCACATCAGGTGTACAGCCCTTCAAGCTGAACATGGGACAGGGGCGGACTGACAACTCATGGGCCCCCGGGCAATAGGGAATCATAGGGCCCCTGTGTCCTTGCCCAAACTCAAAAAAGCCTATGAAAAAGGTACCAGGGGCATCTCATGGGGCCCCCTACTGACCCCGAGCCCTCGGGCAGTGGCCGAGTTTGCAAATGGTCAGTCCGCCCCTGACATGGGATCGCCATAATAGAGCTCCTGAGTGATAGAAGAAATTGTCAGCATCTATCACACTGAAATATGAATTGTGGGTTGACTGACCCTTTAAAAAACATTGACTAGATATAAAAAACCTGTTGCTATAACCTCCTAAAAAGTTTTATCCGTGCATTCCCACGCATCACGTGTAGGGCAGCCCACTAATTTCATTTTTCATGGGCACCATGCAGTTTGGCATGCATGATGCGTGGGGGTGTCATTAACAATGGCGTCTGCTAAAGTGCAGCACATTTCTGTGTGTCAGGAAAGCAGGCTATTTTGCATGCATTCCCGACACACAGTAATGTGAACCTAGCCTAAGATCCTACTCCTATTTCTTGAATAGATTGACTCAGTCCCTTAGGGTTCAGCATTTTTTTCAGCAGCCCCTGTCGTTTTTTTGAACGCACTAAACTTGCGTTCAGCAGTCGATTTTATCAGCGTTTCAAACGCAAACTGCAAATCGCGTTTATAAGCATTTGCGTCCGAAATTTTTTTTTTAACTCTTCCAGTTCCCGATGCTGTCCAGAGCCTTTTTTGATCATGAAAAATGCATGCAAAGCATTTTAAGGGTGCTCAGTTGGACAAAATTGACAAAATTGGACAAAAATTGTTCCTGCCAAGCTTGTCACACATTGTAATGACCAATTCACACCTCAGACCTCTCCCACCCTAGGAAACAAAAGATATGTTAATGACCATTCACACCACAAATTGCTCATGAAGACCCCCTGCCAGGTGACCTTAATGACTCCACCAGACACTTGTCCCACCCTTGGAAACAAAAGAAATGTTAATGAGCAACTCACACCTAGCTAATGTCATACTGCTGTGTCTGCTTCTACTCTCTGTATTACTCTGAAACAGTCTGAAATAGTTAATAATTTACCACTTTTCAGTGCATTCTGGGCATTTGGGAGGTTCTCCTGTGCTTATCTTTAAAAAACGCTTTTAAACACAAACGCACATAAACGCGCATAAACACGTTATGCAAACGCGGCTAAACAGACTTTTTTTTACCTACGTTTTCCAGCAGTCAGTTTGCATCGTTCAGAAGTGTCCCGTGTACATGGGGCCTTAAAATGAAAACAAATCAGAGGATAATTAAAAACAGAAGAGACATTCCCAACTGATAACAAGTATTTCTGGCAAACAGAAGAGGAAACATTGGGAAATTCTACAGACGAGAGTCAAGAAAGTCTAAAAGGCAATTTCAGTGAAGTTTTTACATTGTGATTATGCTTCATTTATCGATATATTTTCTCAGAAGTGGAATTACATTTTAATTGGCACTGCTTCTTGAAAATCGCCACACATTACAAGCCTTATATTGTGTTATCAGTGTGCTTGTCATATGTCTCAACCAATGATACATTGATCTATTGGGAAGAGAAAAGTAACAATACATTTGCTTATTAAATCAATATCATTGACCTTCTCGTTGCGCATATTTCTCCAATGTTGCCAAGTTGTCTGCTGGGCCGCGAACTCTGAAGTTGTGAAGATCTGAAAACTGCAAGTACAAATTCTTGGCTAACCGTATGATCGATATGGTTATTGCACAGGTGGCTTAAATCCTGTAATAGGATAAGCGCTTATTGCCTCTTTTCCGGTGGGAATACACGGACAGTGAAAAATCTCTTGAACATTCCAAATTAGCTTTAAGAACAAAAAATGTAATATATTGCAACTTACCAGTATATGGGTGTGGCGGCTGCATTCATTTTCTTTTTTTCAGGCTGGGAATGTTTTCAGCAAGTACAGAAAATGATTGTAGATCCTGCCAGAAGTGCAGCGTCCATCCAACAATTTAATCTCAACAAGGTGACTTTATTTCCAAGCTATCTTCTGCGAATCACAGATTCCCCTATAGCCCATTAATGAAAGGGGGGCATGTTTGTGGTCCAAATCAGGAGCGCAGGCTAGCGTGACAATGAAGCGCCTCCATAGACGCACTGAAGTGAGAGAACAAGGGATGAGGTTCAGATTTGATGGATGGCGAGTTGTTGGGTAATTCAGGTGTGTGTGTGTGTGTGTGTGTGGGGGGGGGGGGGGGGGTAGCTACACAGCTTCGGCAAATGTAGCCAGTGAATGTTTGACTCTCTCTCAACTGTGGTAAGCAGGATTAGAATGGCCAATGGTGTTTTTAGAGAGAGATGGCAGGCTGGGTAAAGAGAGTGAGTTGCTATACCATGCTATATTGTGCTGTATTACTTAGTATTGCAGTGTGGTGGGCTACACCTTCTATAAATTGAAATTATTCAGTGTGGGGTGCTGCTACTATATTAAAGCCATGCTAAATGTTAAAAAATTAAAAAAAAAATTAAAAATCAGTTACATATCCAAAATATGTGGTGCCAGATTAATATGACGCTGATGCTGTCTGTGAAAGTCATACCATTCTGTAACATCACATACAGTGGTTCTAAACCTCAGACATGGAATATGCATAAAGGATAGCCCTCTAAAGTGTGTACTTACCTATATCCAGAGCACTGAGCATCTGCTGCCCCATTCGCTGCTATAAGTCTTCTGACATGTTTTCCTGACACCAAGAGGAAAATGGTGATGGGAGGGACCTCTAGCAGATTGGCAGCCTCATTTTTGTTTCTCTGTGTTGATTAAAGGGGGGGTTGTGCCTTCCCTCCAATCAGCTCTCAGAGCTCTCCTCGCTAGCTCTGCAGTGTGTAATTTCAGCTCTCCACCCTCTGCTTTCTGACAGCTCAGACAGGCTTTTTAATCCTGAACTTTAAACGGCTGCGCAGAAGAGAATACTGCAGATAAACAGGTACAACTTATGTAGGAGGATTTGTTTCATGACTGTGCACCCCATGAGGCCAGTCACTTCACTGGGTATATGTAGGGGTTTACAACCACTTTATGGGCATTTTGCAAGCATGTTATTTAAAAGATTGGTGTAATTGCCATGTTTTTGCAAAAAAAAAATCACTTTAGGCCTGAAGATTAGATAAACCCCCCAAGAATTATATACTTTCTGAATGCAGTGACCCTGGAGCATAAAATGGTGAAAGTTCCAACTTTTTATGTTACACGATATTACCTCAATGGTTTGTCAAGCACAAGTTTTCAGTAAAAATACATTTAACCACTAGCCTACAGGGCACTTATACCCCCTTCCTGCCCAGGCCAATTTCCAGTTTTCAGCGCTGTCACACTTTGAATGACAATTGCGCGGTCATGCAACACTGTACCCATATTAAATTTTTATCATTTTTTTGTGACAGATAGAGCTTTCTTTTGGTGGTATGTAATCACCTCTGGGTATTTTATTTTTTCTTAAACAAACCAAAAACCAGTGAAAATTATGAAAAAAAAATTTTTTCTTAGTTTTTTTTTATAAAAATATGTAAATAAGTGCTTTTTCTCCTTCACTGATGTGCGCTAATGAGGCTGCAGTGATGGGCACTGATAGGCTGCACTGATGGACACTGATGGGCATTGACAGGCATCACTGATGGGCACTGAAAGGCAGAACTCATATATGGCACTGATAGGTGGCACTGATAGGCGGCACTGACTGGCACTGATAGGCAGCGCTGACTGGCACTGTTAGGTGGCACTGACTGGCACTGTTAGGTGGCACTGATAGGCAGCACTGACGGGCACTGATAGGGAGCACTGACAGGCGCCACTGACGGGCACTGATAGGCAGCACTGATGCACACTGATAGGTGGCACTGACTGGCACTGATAAGTGGCACTGATTGGCAGCACTGATAGGTGGCACTGACTGGCATTGATAGGTGGCACTGACTGGCACTGATGGGTGACACTGAAAGGCAGCTCAGATGGGCACTGATATGTGACATTGATGTGCACTGGAGGCACTATGTGGCATTGATGTGGCACTGATGGGCACTGGCAGGTGGCATGGATGAGCACTGAGAGCTGGCACTGATGGACACTGACAGGTGGCACTGCTGGGGCTACACAGATAATCAGTGCCCTGATGATCAGTGTACATGTCCCCTCCGCGGAATGCCAATTACCAGCTCTCCTCTCCTCTGTCAACGTGACAGCTCATGAGGAGAGAAATTCCGATAACTGGCATTTCCATATTTACATGGGATCAGCTGTGATTGGACACAGCTGATCACATGACCGAGCTGACATCTTCGGCTCTTTCCGTGGATCGGTGATCCGCTGTGTCCGAGGGGCAATTAAAAAATAATAAAAAAAATGGCGTGGGGCCCCCCCCCCTTCCATCCATACCAAGCCCTTCGGATGTGGTATGGATTTTGAGGGGAAGCCCCACGCCAAAATAAAAAAAAATGGTGTGGAGTTCCCCCCAAAATCCATACCAGACCCTTATCCGAGCGAAAGGGTCCTTTTACATGGGCGTTCCGTATCTCCGTTTTTCATCTGCGCGTTTACGGATAAAAAACAGAAACCCATGTATTTCTATGGACTAGCGGATGTAAACGGATGATCATCTATTTACATCTATTAATGTCCACATCCGTTAACATCCATTTTTTTTAACAGAAGAAAGCCCTGTTTTTCTTCCATAAAAAAAACCCCGTAATGGATGAAAAATGGATGTAAACAGACATACGGTCTATTTTTGCATCTGTTTTTGCATTGGTAAAGGATGTAAAAAACTGATGTAAAAACTGACCAGAAACTGATGAAAAAAACAGATATAAACGAATCAAAAATGGATGTAAACGGATATGAAAATGGAGGTAAAAAGTGAAGTCTTGATCCATTCAGCTCCGATTTTGAAAAAAAAAACATGATTGAACTGATGAAAAAAATGGAATGCCTGTATGAAAGGACCCTAAAGCTGGCTGTACAACCATGAGAACTTTGATTATAAAATCCAGGTGGAAAATTGTTGGCTGAACAACGGTTGCATCCAATTGTCAGATAACAGTAGCAAAGCAATAAGATCCCTTTATCTGCAGTGTATGGATGTTTTCATTTAGCCCAAAAGGCTGACCAAAAAGATCTGTTAGTGTATGGCCAGCCTTAAGTTTGACCTCCTATTATATGGTTTTTGGTAAATCTAAACCAAAAATCTCAAGAAAATTGTATAATGTATGGCCAGCCTAATGCAGGCCATAGATGGGTTGAAAATCAGCCATTTTTCGGCCGATAAAAAAATTGGCCGATTTTCGCACCGTTAGTGGGTTAATTGGTCAGCCGTTTTTTTTTCGGGATTTTGGCCCATTTTTTCTATCGGTAAAGTTGGAAAAAAAAACGGCTGATCTTTTTACCGATAAAAAATCTACGCATGAGCCGTGACCTGATAGAAGAAGAAGAAGAAGGAAAAAAAAGAAGAAAAAAGAATAAGAATTCCAGGCCACTATTATATTTGACATGAAAAAGTCTTTCAGTTGCAACAATGTATCTATTTGTATCTGAATAAAAACATCTGTATCTGAAATGGATACAAATGGATACATTGTTGCAATCGAAAGACTTTTTCATGTCAAACATAATAGCGGAGCTCTCTGCAAGGGACAGAAGTAATTAAATGCCATCCGTAAACAGGACAAAAATCGGCAGTTTTTTTACCGTTGGTTGTAACGTTGGCCTATTGAACGACCGATTTTTCATTTTTTAAAAAAAAAAAACGTACGGTTTTCGACCCGTCTATGGCTTGCATGAGGCTGGCCATACATTACACAATTTTCTTTAGAAAATTGCTTTAGATTGACCAAAAACCATATAATATGAGGTCAAACCTAAACAACACTTTCAACTGTATCCAATTAGGCAGGAACTTGCACTACATAGTTGAAGGTAAATCTAAAGGAAATTGGGCAGAAATTGGACAGAAAATTGTATAGTGTATGGCCAGCCTAAATCTAGGTTCACACCTAAACCTTTTGCGGTGCCTTTTGCATTTTGCAGAAACACACTACAGTCCATTTAACATAATTTCCTATGGGACACATTCACATCTCCGAGTTTTCAAATGGTGCATCTTTTGGAAAGGGTCAGGGACTTTTTTAAATGCAAAACATTGTGTTTTGGTTCAACAGACTACAATAGAGCCGCTACAGAAATGCATGTAGTGGATTTTTGATGTATTTTGCATTTTAATATGCCCAGCAACAAGTTGGCAAAAAAAAAAAAAATGCATCAAAAACACGTCAAAAAAGCACTGCAGAAACGGATCAAACGCAAACTGCATAGGTGTAAACCTAGCCTACGTCTATCATAGCTGTGATTCCTCCCTTTTGCTGGTTGGTGTCACTGGTACCTTTAGTATTAGTATGATGAGCTACAGTGAAGCGGGATTATGAATATCCATACTTCTCTCAACCAATCAGTAGGAGTTTTTCTGGTTTCTGGTGCATGCGGGGAGAGTGTATAAATATTTTGGGAGGTCACGTGATCAAGGGCCACCTACCCAGACCGTGGTCTGGTGTGGATGTGTGAGCAACAGCTGCGTTGGGTAGGCCTGAAACCTAAGGCCTTACCATGTGTTTGAGGTTCTGCAAGTTAGAGCCTGGCTGTTGCTTGGAGGCATGAAGAAAGGGATGGAGCCCGAGATGAAGTACCAGAGGTTACTCTTCCATGAACCAGAGACTGTGGAAAGTGTCAAGATGGACTCATCCAGATAATCCATGCACTGTACCAGGGGCGAACTGACAACTCATGGGGCCCGCGGGGAATAGGGGATCATGGGGCCCCTGTGTCCTCGCCCACACCCCAAAAAAGCCTATGAAAAAGCCAATGAAAGGTACCAGCAGCATCTCATGGGGCCCCCTACTGACCCGGGCCCTCGGGCAGTGCCCGAGTGCTCGAATGGTCAGTCCGCCCCTGCACTGTACTGTGAGTTTTTGTTGCTATAGGAGACAGCTGATACTACGGAGGTACAGAACGTTGGGTGCAGGTCAAAGGCCCTTTTTCTGTACTGCTGTCTGCCTGGCTATTTTTGTGTAAGGAATCTGCTGGTCTGTTTGCCTCCTGTCCTAGGGTGTCCTGTGCCCTAACCCTCTCTCCCGGAATTTTGTTGTTGTGAGAAATAAACTCAATTTTGTTCAACCTAAAAGTGACTGGAGTCCATTTTCTGCAACCGTCCACACCCACCATGCCTATCAACCAGCATCCTAAGGTGGAATGTCAGCCCTTCCTGACATCAGGGGTCATGGGTGCGTAACATTTAAAGTGGTTGTAAACCCTTACATATATACAATGCAGTGACTGGCCTCAGAAACAAATTCTCCTGCAAAAGTTGTACATGTTTATCTGCGGTCCTCTCTTCTCTACATCTGTTCAAAGTGCTGAATTTTAAAGCTTGTCTGAAATTTCAGAAAGAAGGGGGTGGAAGAGCTGATGTTACACTTTGAAGAGCTCTGAGAGCTGATTGGAGGGAAGAGACACCCCCCTTCACATAGTGGCACACCTCCTTTCACACAGCTCACAGGAATTGAGGCTGTCAATCTGCTGGAGGTCGCTCCCCTGTCACCATTTTTTTCTTGGTGTCAGGAAAACTTGTCAGAAGTGATTCATGCTGATAGCAGAGGAATAAAGCAGAAGACAGAAATGACACTTTGTAACCTGGATTGAAACAAGTACACACTATAGAGCAGGGGTCTCCAAACTTTACAAACAAAGGGTCAGACTTTAGAGGGGTCAGACGTTGGTATGAGTGGGAGGAATAGTGCCCCATCATTGGTATCAGTGAGAGGAATAGTGCCCCATCATTGGTAGTGAGAGGAATACTGCCCCATCATTGGTGTCAGTGGGAGGAATAGTGCCCTTTAATTGGTGTCAGTGGGAGAAATACTGCCCCAACATTTGTGTCAGTAGGAGAAATATCGCCCCTTCATTGGTGTCAGTGGAATAGGTCCCATCATTGGTGTCAGTGGGAGGAATAGTGCCTCATCTTTGGTATCAATGGGAGAAATAGTGCCTGATCATTGGTAGTGGAAGGAATAGTGCCCAATCATTGGTAGTGGAAGGAATAGTGCCCCATCATTGATTTCAGTGGGAGGAACTGTACCCCATCATTGGTGTCAGTGGGAGGAATAGTGTCCCATCATTAGTGTCAGTGGAATGAATAGTAACTCATCATTGGTGTCAGTGGGAGGAATAATTTCCCATCTTTGGTGTCAGTGGGAGGAATAGTACCCCATCATTGGTGTCAGTGGGAGGAATAGTACCTCATCATTGGTGTCAGTGGGAGGAATAGTGCCCCATCATTGGTGTCAGTGGGAGGAATAATTTCCCATCTTTGGTGTCAGTGGGAGGAATAGTACCCCATCTTTGGTGTCAGTGGGAGGAATAGTGTCCCATCATTGGGGTCGGTGGGAGGAATAGTACCCCATCATTGTGTCAGTGGGAAGAGAACCCCCATCATTGGTGTCGGTGGGAGGAATGGTACCCCATCATTGGTGTCAGTGGGGAGGAATAGTGTGTCCCATCATTGATGTCAGTGAGAGGAATAGTGTCCCATCATTGGTAATAAAAGGAATAGTGCCAATCATTGGTGTCAGTGGGAGGAATAGTGTCTTGTACCAGTGAGAAGGTAGGAAAAAGGCAAGCAATGGGCCGCAACCAGTCCCCCAAGCCACAGTTTGGAGACCTCTGCTATAGTTGGAAATGCTTTGTTCATATTTCATATCTGAAGTTTACAACTGCTTTAATTTTCTCATTTGGTTGAACTCGATGGATGTGTTTTTTTTTTCACCCTAAATAACTATGAGACTTTTTACAATTATTTCTTGGAATATTTACATTGCTGGAGTGATAGTTTGAATCTCTCATTTAAAGCTGTGTATCAGCCCGTGTCTCTCACCTTGCCGGTGTCTATCAGAATTATACAGTGTGTACGTTCCTGCATTATTCATGAGGGATTGGCTGCGCTTTTTTATTTTGCTGAATGCACAGTTTAGTGACCCTTAAACCTTTTATCCAAACCCCGCAGTCTGTCCAAATTGCGAGGATGTGCAATGATAAAAAATAATGCTGCAACATATAAAATAATGTTCTTGCTCTTCCAGTAAGTGCTGTGTTGGGTTTTAACTGAAGAAGCAAAACAGAATCAATAAAGACATGGAAGAGAAATGGGAACAGATAATGGTCTAAAATATGGTTTAGAAGCCAAATTTAGAGCAGAACTTCAGGCAAACAGCTAAATAGATGAAATACATGTAAGAGAGCCGCTTCTTCCTTCCAAGGGATTTGTATTATTGTCTATCCAGTCATGAGATTTACATAGCTCCACCGCACAGCACAGCTCTGTCAGGTAGGGCAGGGGACCTGATTTCTCTCTACTGCAGTTAGGTAGCACTTGTAGGTCTGTAGCAGACTGATGAGCTCATTTCTCTGTCACTCTGCTCTCTTCTGCTACCAGCATGTCCCTTGTTAGCACATGAGCAGTGTAGTACAACTTAGGCTCCATGTACACGGGACGTTTGGAAAACTCTTCTGAACGATGGAAACTGACTGCTGGAAAACGTAGGTTAAAAAAGTCTGTTTAGCCGCGTTTGCATTCCGTGTTTATGCGCATTTATGCGCGTTTGCGTTCAGAAGCATTTTTTGAAAGATAACCGCAGGAGACCTTCCAAAATGCCCAGAATGCAATGCACAGAAAAACAGTACAAAATTAACTATTTCAGACATTTTGAGAGAAATAGAGAGCAGAAGCAGAGAGAGCAGTATGTGTTGAGATGACCTGTCTTTTCTGGTTGTATTCACTATGGAACGTTGTATATGTATAATGCGGAACGTTCTACCAATTTTTCCTTCACGGAAAACCTGGAACTGACTGCGCTGGTGTACCGGGTCAATTTGAATACATGGAAAACGCTTTGCATGCATTTCTGATGATGAAAAAAGGCTCTGGACAGCATCTGGATATGGAACAGTTAAAAAACTCTTCTAAACGCAAACGCTTATAAACACGGTTAGCCACGTTTACACGCGTGTACAAGTATTTGACGTTTGAAATGCTGATAAAATCTACTCCTGAACGCAAGTTTGGTGTGTTCAAAAAAATGACTAAACTCAACTGCCTGTAAATGACTGTAAATGACATAGTGTACATGGACACATAGGAAAACATAAAGGAGGGTTCAGGGGCTGCTGAAAAAAACACAGAAAAGCTCCTGAACGTCAGTTTATCAGCTGCAGTGTATATGAGCCCTTACTGCCTCTTTCAGCTGCTTCTCCCACTCTGGGTCTGGCACTGCTGTACCGGGACTGCAAGAGGCTGATAACTGATGATGTTCCAGTACTTCAACTAGCTGCATTAAACATGAAATAACACCTTATTACTAAATAACACAGAACAACATTATTTGTGCCTTCTATATCTGCCTGGAGAGCTCAGTTCACACTGCTGTGACCCCAAAGTCATGCAACTTGCTTGCAATTTCCTTACAACTTCCTTGCGACTTCTGATTTAACACTCCAGTCTATAGCACTCAAGTCACACCAAAGTTGCAGAAAAGTAATACAGGAACTTTTTTTTTTTTTTTTGCTGCAACTTGAGTTGCATTAAAGTGGTAGTAAAATTTTTACCTACAGGTAAGCTTAGAATAAAATGAATGTCTTCTAAATGTGCACCATTGAGGAGATATTAACTCCTATTGACAGCTGGCGCATGTGCTCGAAGGAACAGCATAGCCGCGCCATTCCTTCAGAGCACTGCGTCGCAGCATGCGTAAGGGTGATGTCATCGTGGCTCAGCCAGTCAGACAGCTGGAGCTCGCGAACCCTGAAGGGAGACCTGGTGAAGATGGAAGCCTCTGCAGGGGTGACAGAGCGCCGCTGGAGGGCTTCATTTTAACCACTTCAAGTCCAGACACTTTTACCCCCTTCCTGTCCAGGTCAATTTTCAGCTTTCAGTGCTTTTTACACTTTGAATGACAATTGCGCAGTCATGCAACACTGTACCCATATGAATTTTGTAGCATTTTTTTTGAGACAGATAAAACTTTATTTTGGTGATATTTATTCACCACTGGGATTTTTATTTTTTGCTATATAAATGAAAAAGTACAAACATTAAAAAAAAAAAAGTGTTTTTCTTTATTTTTGCAAATAAATAATCTTTCTTCATAAATATTGGCCAAAATGTATTCATCTATCTTTTTAGTAAAACAAAAAATAACCCAAATTAGTTTATAACCAACAATTATAATTTTTCTAATTCTATTTTACATTTTTATTTTATTTTTTTATACCATTATTTATGTTTCTTTTTTTTTTTTTTTACCATACTGTCACCATATTGACACTCTACTACTTGTGGGGGGTGATGAAGATTTTTTTTTTTTTTTACACTGATTGCTTTTACAGCCATAAAGGCTGTAAAAGCAATCATTTCTCCTTTTCTCTGGCTGCATTCTTGCTGACCATTGAGAAATACTGTGAGAGCTGTGATTGGTCACAGCTTGTCACATGGTATACAAGGCTGTTGTGAATAGCCTTGTACCATGTGACCTCTGTGATCATTGACAGATTTCACACGTAGTAAGCAATGATGTCAGCAAGTGACATCTTGGTTACTACTATTCATGTGATCACTGATTGGCCAATCAGTGATCACATGATCGGGACCTCACACAGAGGTCCCTTACAGCGATCGGACACAGCGGGCACTGGATTGCGGTGCTGCGCACTCCCAGGGAGAGCGCACGGGCAGTGAATGCGGGGGCCGTTTATAAATAACAACCAGCTTCAGCAGTGCTCCCGTCCAGCCGTTTATGTTCATGGGCCTGGACAGGAAGTAGTTAAGGTAAGTCCTCTATAATGTGCTGGTATGTGATGCACACTGGTACATTATGACATTACCTTGCAGGAGAAAACTTTTTTTTTTTTTTTTAAATGTGGTTTACTAACTCTTTAATTAAGTTGGCATCCATTGAAATAAATGTGTTTTGACCTGGTATGCGACCTTATGTGCTGCAATTCACATGATAAGTCACATCGGTGTGAACCAGGGCTCAAGCTGCAGTTTAAACTGCTTTTATTTTGCTTTCCCTTGTTCCTCATTTCTCCCCCCATCAACATGCTAACCGAATTTGCAAATAAAACTCTTAACGTTTTATTACATACTTTATCTTTGACCTAGTGATGTCATCTCTGTGCTTCGCTATGCAAAGCAGGCAGATCATGGTTGGTGGGAAGGGCTGACAGGGTGCTGTGCATGGCCTTCTGAAAACATCACAGCATCCTACCTAGAGTCCTCAGCCCTGGTACCAGCAGTGGGCTGGCTCTTGGGATGGGTAATGCAAATATCTTCAAATGTCTTCATGGGTGGGCATCCATGCTGAGCCCTTATGACTGAAAGAACTGAAATCCAGTGAATAAAAAGGCAGGCCACAGACAGTCAGGCTGGGAAGGATGGGGCTAGATGATGCTGGACGTTCTATAACCATTTCAATACCGGGCACTTATACCCCCTTCCTGTCCAGGCCAATTTTCAGCTTTCAGTGCTGTCACACTTTGAATGACAGTTGTGCGGTCATGCAACACTGTACCCATATGACATTTTTATAATTTTTTTCACACAAATAGAGATTTCTTTTGGTGGCATTTAATCACCACTGAATTTTTTTTTTTTGCTAAATAAAACAAAAAAACACCTGAAACATTTAAAAAAAAAACACACTTTTCTTTGTTTCTGCTATAAAAGTTTGCAATTAAATAACATTTCTTCATAAATTTGGGTCAGAATGTATTCTGCTACATTTCTTTGGTGAAAATAATAATAATAATAATTGAGTTTGTATTTCTTTTTCAAATGTTTCTTTTTTTTTATGTTTTATTACATTTTTTCTTTATTTTTACTATTTTATTTTTCAGCACACTGTGACCAAAGCAATACAATGTTACCATAGTAACACTGAACTACTCTGGGCAAGTGATCAGGATTTTTTTTTTTTCGCACATTATGATTGCTAATACCAATGTATTTAATTGATAATTGCAATCATTTTTTGTGAATGAAACTGATTCTTTCATCTTTTGTTGTAATTAGCTGTGATTGGGCAAAGCTGATCACATGATACAGATGGGCTTTGATTGGCCCTGTCTGTATCATGTGACTGCCTTAACATAATTGTATACAATGGATGGTATGACAGAAAGCCATCCATTGTATACAATTGACATGATCTGCTGTGATTGGCAACGGGCCGGTGTAGTAATATGTCATCGGCTGTGTCCCGTGGACAGATCGTGCCCCTGTGTGGCCCAGCGGCCGCATGAGCGGCTCATTTTGACAGGACGTCATATGACGCCCAGTCCAGGGGTGGACTGACAACCCATGGGGCCCCCTGGAAATAGGGAATCATGGGGCCCCTGTGTCCTTGCCCAAACTCAAAAAAGCCTATGAAAAAGGTACCAGGGGCATCTCATGGGGCCCCTACTGACCCCATCCCTCGGGCAGTGCCTGAGTTACCAAATGGTCAGTCTGCCCCTGGCCCAGTCACAAAGGCGAGTGTCCCGCCTAGCCATCAATCTGCTATAGGCCGGGCAGGAAGGTGTTAACCACAAAATGTGAAGAGCTCTGACTTGTGCTGCTTATAATGTACACTGTGAGACCCTCACAGTGTGCAGTGAAATCAGAGTAAACTATTTCAGTACAGCAATAGACCCTGAAATAGGCCTCATTCACACACACTACACCTGTGCAGGGGATGTTGCTACCCACACGGGGGATGCACAGGCATCCCATGCTGGCAGACCCTTTCAAGTCCATTGGAATGCAGCAGCTGCACGGACACAACCGCTGCGGGTGCAGGTGAGGGTACCCAATCCCGAATGCAGGCATTGTGCACAACACCTTACGGTGACGCAACACGTACATGCTGTATCTGCACATTTCTGTACTGACAAGAGAAAATGGTTACTCCCCAGATAACCTAAATATTTGCTAATGAAAGGAAAATTGTGTTTTCCCAATGTAATATATCCGATAAAAGCATTTTTGGAGGACGCCACTACTTTCAGCAATATTATTTTGTACATGCTAAATCCACCCCATCTAATCCCTCATCAGTCTCTAAGTGTTATTATATTATCAGAAACACGGTTGTCAGAACCGGCTGCTGACAAATCTTTTGTCGCTCTTTAAAATGATAATGGCATTAATCTTATGGAGGATAAAAGGGTAAAAGACGAAGCAGAGTGGCTGGAAAAAACTGATATATACCAGTCAGCGGGGAGGGAAGGTCACTACAATGCGACTAGAGTTCTACATCCCAAAGTGAAAATATTCAACATTATAAGAGAAGTTTCTTTTCTAGAAATCATACTTACCTAGGTGGATGCAGCATTGGTCCCCTATGGCTCTAAGGCCCCATGTACATGGGATACTTCTGAACGATGGAAACTGACTGCTGGAAAACGTAGGTTAAAAAACATCTGTTTAGCCGCGTTTATGATCGTTTGCGTTTAGAAGCGTTTTTTTAAAGATAACCTCAGGAGACCTTCCAAAATGCCCAGAATGCACTGAAAAACAGTAAATTATTAATATTATTATTATACAGTATTTTAAAGCGCCAATAGTTCACTGAGCGCTGTACATTACAAAGGGGGACAGAACATGTGACAGAACACCAATACAATGCAAAAGAGGGGATCGAGGGCCCTGCTCTTTCGAGCTTACAATCTAGAAGGGATGGGATAGTGGTACAGGAGGAGATAGCTGTGGGGGATGGAGTGGTAGGAAGAGTGGAGGAGGTCAGCAAGTTAGCAAGGGGTGAGGTAGGCTTCCCTGAAGAGATGGGTTTTCAGGGTGCGCCTAAAGGAGAGGAGAGTAGGTGATAATCTGATGGGTTGGGGCAGGGAGTTCCAGAGGATGGGTGACACCCTGGAGAAGTCCTGGAGGCGGGCATGGGAGGAGGAGACCAGGGAACTAGAGAGAAGGAGGTCTTGTGAGGAGCGGAGTGTGCGTGTTGGGCGGTACTTGGATATTAGGTCAGTGATGTAGTTCGGGGCAGTATGGTGGACAGCTTTGTACGTCAGTGTTAGGATTTTTAAATTTGATCCGTTGCGCAATCGGAAGCCAGTGGAGGGATTGGCAGGGGGGTGGCGGAAATGGAGCGGTTGGAAAGGTGAATGAGTCTGGCAGCCGTATTCAGGATCAACTGAAGCGGGGATAGCCAGCGGCGAGGCAGGCCAGTGAGGAGGGAGTTGCAGTAGTCGAGTCGTGATATGATGAGGGAGTGGATGAGCTGTTTAGTGGTTTCTGGGGTTAGGAACGTGCGGATTTTGGCGATGTTGCGGAGGTGGAGTCTGCACGAGTTTGTTAAAGATTGGACTTGGGGCTGGAAGGATAGGTTGGAGTCCAGAATGACACCAAGTACTCTGGCCTGCAGAGCGGGTTTGATATTGACGTTTTGGATGTGATGTAGAGAAGTCAATGGGGGGTGGGGTTCGGGCTGGGGGGAAGACAAGGAGCTCGGTTTTGGAGAGATTCAGTTTAAGGAAGTGGAGCGACATCCAATCTGATATGTCGCTCAGTAGGTGTGTGATTTGGGCAGAGACCGAAGGGGTGAGGTGGGGGGTTGAGAGATAGATTTGTGTGTCGTCGGCATAGAGGTGGTAGTTGAAGCCGTGAGAGTGTATGAGTTGGCCAAGGGAGGAGGTGTAGATGGAGAAGAGAAGGGGCCCAAGGACAGAGCCTTGAGGGACCCCAACAGAGAGGGGGAGTGAGGGGGAGGTGGTAGCATTATAGGTAACGCTGAAAGAGCGTTGTGACAGGTAGGATGAGAGCCAGGAGAGAGCAGAATCTCTGAGGCCGAGGGAGTGTAGTATTTTGAGAGGAGGGGGTGGTCAACTGTGTCGAAGGCCGCAGAGAGGTCAAGGAGTAGGAGCACTGAATAGTGGCCATTAGCTTTGGCGGTTAGAAGGTCGTTGGAGAGTTTGAGTAAGGCGGTTTCGGTGGAGTGTAGGGGCGGAAGCCAGACTGTAGGGGATCGAGGAGGTTGTTGTCGTTGAGGTGAGAGCATAGGCGGGTGTAGACGAGACGCTCGAGGAGTTTAGATGTAAGTGGGAGCAGGGAGATGGGTCTGAGGTTGTTCGGGTCATTGGGGTTCAGGGAGGGCTTTTTAAGTATGGGGGTGATGTGTGCATGCTTCAGTGGGGAAGGGAAAGTGCCGGAGGAGAGGGAGAGATTAAAGATGTGGGTGAGGGAGCGTAGGATGGAGGGGGAGGGATCCTAGGAATTGTGAGGGGATAGGGTCGAGGGGGCAGGTGGTGAGGCGGGCATCAGAGAGGATCTTGGAGACTTCCTCAATGGTAGTAAGGTCAAAGGTGTGGAGTGTTGGGGGAGCTTCAGTATGAGGAATGTAGGGTGGGGTGGGAGTGGAGGTCAGAGCAGTGGTGGGGCCGTGGGAGAGGGGTGATGAGGGGTAGCCGAGTGAGGGGGAACGGGGTCGGAGGGAGTTTGAGCAGTGACGAAGTCCCTGCGGGTAATGTCGAGGGGGGGGGGGGGGGGGGATAGGGGGTAGCT